CTATTTGTGAGTTAAACCTTATATACTATTTGTAAGTCTATTATCACGGATTTCCACAAAACCTTTTCCTGGTCCAATGCTAAATCTAGAAAGAGAGAATAGGCAAAAGGAAGAATTTGATGAAAATATTATCGCCAAAAAAATTATATCCTTGGTAGAATTGCACCGATTCAAATGACTAGTGGTACAAAAATGCATGAAGAAAATACATTATTTTTCATAAACAAAAAGACAATAGCAACATAAATTAACTAGGAACCATAATAGCATCCTAAGTATGGGGAGTAGAATTTGACGGGAAATAGAATGATTTCTTAAGAAAAAACTGAGGAACTTATTTTTGTTGGATGGTGGTGCTAACCAAACCAAAAATGAAATGGTTTAAATCCGACAAAAAAAGTTTAGATAGGCCAATCACCAGTCATAATGTTATATAACTTGCACCAAAACTTAAGCATTATGTTATATATATTTAAAAACTTTTCCAATAGGTTAATTTAACAGAGAAAACATCACTTCACACAGTCTTGAATATCAACGTGGCACCCAGCAGCGATAGAACATGCATTTCTAATAAAATGGAAGTTGATCAGAAGAGCAAAGATTGCATAAGTATCCATAAGAAAATAGTTTACCTTAACTTTATCAATGCTAAATGCCTTCTCAACAAGATCGAAAATTAGAAAGTTTATTCCTTTAGTTATGATAGAAATGGAAGAAACCAGAGAAATTTGAAAGTTGTCGTAACCAAAATCCTTGTTTCATGTTTCACAAAACCTCCACCATAATCGGTCCCTTCATTTTTTAACTTGGGGTTTTGCTCTATGATTTTTGTCTCATTTAATTCATGTTTGCATGGAGGAGTCAAACGAGAGTTTGATCGATTATTCAAATGACATTTTACACAACTAGACGAAAAAGTTCCATTAGTTGATGTCATTTCATCCAATTGTAGCATTTTGACACTACATCAATAGTAGGAAGCAATTTTTGGAAGCACCAATATTTTTTTGCTTTTTTTACACAAAACATTCTAAGTTTAATCTTTCCGCCGAGGAATACAAATTGTTAATAAAACCCTCTAAAGATATTTGATCGTCTAGAAGCATGAACACGGAACCTAGAGGAAATGCGAGAAAACTCAACAGTTGATTGACAAAATCTCCCAGAACTTTCGCATGTAAAATATTGTTATTTTTCTTGTCAAATATAATGTTCACATTCATTTGTTGTTCTTCTTCACTGTCATCAATCTCTTCTTTAATCATTGAAAAGCATTTTCCACTTTGTTCTATGCATTCATCAGAAAAGAAAAACCTTGTTAAAACATGCTTGGATACCAATGATATCCTCAGCAAGTTCAAAGCAAATTTCTTTGATAGATCCTTGTTTGTGAAATTATGAATAAAAGATGAATGCATATTAGAGGAAAGGGTTATAGATATTGTCAATGATGAGGTAACTTATTTATAAATTCTTGAAAAAATAATTTAGATTTAGTTTAATGCGGAATTGCTGAAATTTATATATATCTTCTTTTCAGGCTTTGAACTGGCTGAGGATATCATTGGTATCCAAGCATGCTTTCAAAAGACTTTTCTTCCCTGATCAGTGCATAGAACAAAGTGGGAAGTGATTTTCAATTATTAAAAAGAAGATTAAAGAGAAGATTGATGACAGTAAAGAAGAACAACAAATGAATGTGAAAATTATATTTAACAAGAAAAATAATAATACTTTACATGCGAAAGTTCGGGGAGATTTTGTCAATCACCTGTTGAGTTTTCTCACATTTCCTCTAGGTTTCGTGTTCATGCTTCTAGGCGATCAAATATTTTTAGAGGGTTATATTAGCAATTTGTATTCCTCGGCGGAAAGATTAAACTTATAATATTTTTGGTAAAACAAAAAACAAAATATATTAGTGGTTCCAAAAATTGCTTTCTACTATGGATGTAATGATCAAATGTTACAATTGGATGAAATGACATCAGCTAATGAGACTTTTTCGTCTAGCTGTGTAAAATGTCATTTGAATAATCGATCAAACTCTCGTCTAACTCCTCTATGCAAGCATGAATTAAGTGAGGCAAAAATCATAGAGCAAAACTCCAAGTTAAAAAATGGAGGGACTGATTATGGTAGAGGTTTGGTGAAAAATGAAACAAAGTTTATGGATACTGACAACTTTCAAATTTCTCTAATTTCCTCCATTTCTATTATAACTAAAAGAATAAACATTCCAATTTTTTATCTTGTTTAAAAGGCATTAATGTTGATAAAGCTAAGATAAACTGTTTTCTTATGTGTACTTATGCAATCTTTGCTCTTCTGATCAACTTTCATTTTTATTGGAAATACAGGTTCTATCGTTGTTGGGTGTCACGTTGATCTTCAAGATTGTGTTAAGTGATGTTTTCTCTGCTAAACCAACGTATTGCAAAAGTTTTTTAAATGTATACAATATAGTGCTTAAGTTGTTGTGAAAATTATATAACATTATGACCGGTGATTGAACTATCTAAACTTTTTTGTAGGATTTAAACCATTTCATTTTTTGTTTGATTAGCATCACCATCCAACAAAAATAAGGTCCTCAATTTTATCTTAGGAAATTCTTCTATTTCTCGTCAAATTCTACATCTCATACTTAGGACGCTATTATAGTTTCTAGTCAAATCCATGGACTAACACTAGGTCTTACAAATCCCGCAGTGCTAAACATTATCGAATAAAGCGTCCAAAAAGGATTTCGACTTCTTGGATTCATTTAAAAAAACAGGACCCAAGAAACGCTTCATCGCCATGCCGGCCACCAGGGCCGAAGGGGATGAAGCAGGAAACAAACAAAACACGAAAGAAAAAACAAGGAAATGAAAAACTCCCCTGAAACCAGAGAAGCACCAACAGCAAGAAGATGACGAAAAGCATTTGCCGGGAGAGACCCAGGCGAAGGGGGGCGGGAGGCCCAAGCATCAAAAAACCCTAGCTCCCAGAAACGATATAAGCCTCTTTAAATTCAAAAATGAACATGGCTTGAAGTATTCTAGCTTTCTAATATATCTACAAATAATAGATTTTAGGGGCCCACCTCTTTCCTCTTCTACTTTCCATTATCTTCTAAATAAATATGTGAATAGCTACTAACATACATAGAAGAAGCTAACAAATCAACAAATTAAGCATGAAGCATACAAAAAGTTCTCAACATAGACATGTGTCATTGGAACACAAAGCAATATGAGAGTTCACTAATATGGGTGAAGAGAATTGACATTGAATAGTACTACATATAAAACATATACACTACACATAAAGCGTATAAAGTTTGCTAATGCAACATGGAAATTGACTATTATGATCACACATCGAATATCTGAGATCTTATTTAACATGGGTCACAAGAGGAAATTACGCATGAATCCTAAGAGTGTATTGATGTGAAACATAAAACTTTGAGATTGAGGAATGTTTAAGAAAGTCATACATGTAGCATGATGTAAAATAAAAGAAACATGAGGCGTGTGTATGAAGATTCATCAAAGCCACAAGTGTTGTATTAAGTGGATGATTTTGCAACCAAGGTATATACATGAGCTTTCAAACAAATTCATATGATAGGTGCAGATGTAAACAAGTGAAACATAAGCATACTTTATTTACATTTTTTTAACATTTCCGCATACTATAAAAAAATCCTATGCATTTGTATCGCTTGGAGCACAAACATAAGAGTTTTTTTTTCTTTTTCTAACGAACAATCCTAAACATACTTTTATGTACAAATTTCCTCAATCAATCGTAAATGATATAAATAAGACGCTATATAAATGATACTAAACATGCTTCCTAAACATTTTTCTTGAAGTTATAATACATGTGAACGTCACTTAGACACTACAAAAGAATTATACGTTTGATCACATGATTTGATTGTGGCTCGTAGTAGTGATGCAACATATAGGCAAGACTCCTACGGAAATAGATCACCAACCATGAAAGAAGTCTCAATTCTTTCCCAATAACAGTATTAAAGAATAAATTTAACATGATTTTATTGGATGAAGGGAATAACCATATAACAATTGTAACCACATGATATGCATGCACGACTCTACATGAGAATGAACTTCAATTTATGAAACCTGGAAAGTTTATAAATAGTAATGTTTAGGATGAAATATGAAATGGCATGATCGGCTTTTATTAATGATGACGAGTTGAGCAAACAAGATTGGTTTCATGCACAATCAACTAAATTACCATTAATCACTAAGTAAATGTAAAGGATATGATTTATGAAATCGAAAAATAAAATACATCCATTAACGTGTACATGATCCAAAAGACTCAAAAAAATCACGATTTAAATTATAGCTCAATTGTAAAAGAAGGAAATAACAAGAAATTACTCGTGGAGATAAATGTTAAGAAACACGACGATTACGTATATTTTTTTTGCCACAAAACCATGATAAGAAAACAAATTTGTTAGAACTCAACATCAACATAGGTATGCATTTCCACTTTTACATGCAATGCATTTTTTTTTAGAAGGGCGTAAGAACATATCTCTTTCATATAATAATAGATTTAACTTAGAACAATCGTTTCATAGCATATACAAGTATGTATGTATTTCTCATGATTCAAACATACAAATTCTTTAGAGATACAGAAGAGATATAATATAAATATGCTTTATTTATATGCAACCATTTGTATGCATCACTTAGATAACAAATCTATATGTAATGACTATCTTAAGGAACTTATTGATGAAACAATAGAAGCATGTGGTCATGTGTGAACGCTTTAGCTTTCCCAAACTATACTCACATTTATGCATATATATAAAAACTAGCATTTGGAGGAAAATCATTCAATAAATTTATGAAAGAAAATAAGTTTATTTCTCCCTCAACTATTTTCATTCTCTATAAACAAAATACCTCTATTTTGAATTTATAAATCTACTCATTTAAATTTAGAATATATAAAGCTACTTAATCTCATCGCCAAGCTTCATATCTAAATGCAGGACGTAATTGCTCATAATGAAGATTTGGATCCTACCCTGTCCAATCCATAGGAGGTATCAACATAGGCATGTACGGGATGACCATGTGCCTAGCCTACAAAACCCACAAAAAATAAAGAAGAAGAAGAAGACAATAAGCACACAGATAAAGAAAGATTACAATACGAAAACACATTTACAATCGTAGTCTTACCGTTCTCTCTAGCCCTTGACAAACCAGAGGCTCCCCACCTAAATTCACAAAGTTCTTTTGTCAAAGTTTTGAGCGAATGTCTAAATGCAGAACGGATATCAGGTGGACCATCTATTAGCTGATTAACTGGGGGTTGTATATAAGCTGTGTCAATTAATAGTTCAATCAAGCGGCTCCCCACCTAAATTCACAGAATATGTGGGTGAAGGCATTACAACTAAAGGAGAAGAAAACTCTTCATGAAAATGCTAGGATGCTAACGAATACACAACATATCTTGATAAAAAAGAATGGGCATAAAGAAGAAACCTTTCCTAGAGCATCCTGACCCCATGGCCTAGTTTTATCCTGCCCTTTAACTATACTCCTTAATTGGGGCAGCTTTTGTTTCTTCATCAAATCTTATACCTTTTTCCTCAAGAGACTTTCTTCTTTAGCTACTGGATCATCATTATCATATAGACCTCTCTTATTGTTACCATTTTGCTTCTTTGTTTTCAACAAAAATCTATAAATCCGAGCCTGTTCGAACAAATGATATCTGTAACAAGTTAAAACAAGGTAGCCCATAGTAGCCAGATTGAACAAGTTGCAAATTCATAAAAAAAAATAAAGGGTCATTAGAATTAGGGAATTAGAATGTTCAGATCAAGATATAAAAACTTTAAAAATCAAAGAAAATTAAAAAAACAAACTTTTTAGGCAATTTTTCCAAATTAAAAATTAAACAACTTAGTAATTAACAGATGTACAGATTAGAATTATATAAATAAAAATAAACAAAGAAATTTTGCAACAAGTCACAATAATGATCACAAATGAGAAAATAATTAAACATTTAAAATTACAAGCAAAACAAATGGGAGGAAAAGAAAGTAAATTTTTTAGAAAGGAATGCTTAATTTTGTTCTAACATCTATAAAAGTGAACAATTTTAATTATCATGCACAGAGCTTTGGATATTTCTATGAACGCATACAAATATATCATTGAAAACATAAATTATTCTTTACTAAGTGAACCTCAAATTAACATTGATAAAGTCATTGTATGATCTTTTAGGAATATTTTTTTTTATATCAAACCGATGGCATGCATTTTTTTATATCAAAGCTTCTTTCAAATAATTCAACATTAATTTGGAACAATAAGATGTATGTGAACATCACATCTCTACAAACAACTGGATATATAGATTTTCAGATTTTTTTTTATATTGACAATCTTCTAGATGATGCACTAAAGGAAAGCTTTCATATCAACAAGACAACTAAATAAGATTTCAATGTGAGCAAAACCATCATGAATCCTTTTTAGAGACATTTCATCAAACGCCTAGTGCACAATGTTTATAAGAACACATAAAACGAATTAACAAGAAAAATCATGATTTACACATGTGCCTAATTGAAGTCATTCAAACAACCTATACAAAGTTCCTTATGATTCATGCTACAATCATTTAAAATAGAAGAAGAAAATAACCAACAACTAAGCTACCAAAATATCAACCATAGGGAAGCAGAAAAGAAAATCATGGAATAAGAAGAAGGAAAGAAGAAAGAAGATGTATGAATATAATGAAAGAGTAATGGGGGATGAAAAGAAGAACGAGAAGAGAGCTGAACGTCAGAAAGAGAAGAGAGGTAAGGAGAAGAGATTACCTTGCAAAGGGATAAGGGAATGGCAGCTTGAGCAGGACGGCATCGGGCGGAGGAGCTTCGACTTCAGCTAGGTCACCCGAACAAGAAGAGGGGTTGGGGCGTTGGGTCTGTCCGATCTCAAGGAGACGGAGAGGGGGCGAGAGAGAAGAGTGCGAATGCCAGGAGGCGGAAGAGGGGGTCTCGACCCTAGGCTTTCCGTCCGAATAAGAAAGTAGGAGGAAGCCAGGGATTCGGAACTCCTGGAGCAAGAAAGCCGAGAGCCTAGTGTTGGTAGCCGAATGCTGCTCTCCTCCATCCGACTGGAGCTTTTCTTCCCTCGAGTCCCTTAGGACTTCGGCTATGTTCCACGCAAAAAGAAGCACGACAAAAGGCCTGGGCGCGCCCGGCTTCTACTAAAGCCATCTGAATCCTCACCAAACTCGGCAAGTCACGCGACTGCGCCAACTGATAATGGCAGACTTGGAGCTTCGATTAAATCAGGGCCGTAGGATCCATTTCTTGATTTAGAATTAAATTCAAATTTCTTTAAAAGCATATTGGAGTTTAATTAGGATTAAACTAGGTTGATTTGAATCAAGTATGAGCCTAAATCAAACTTAATTTGACTCAAGTTAAATCAATTTGAGTTCAATTTGGTCCAACTAAATTAATTCAATAAAATTAACTTCAAATCGACACCAATTCGGATCGAATCGAGCTTGACGAGGCTCGTCCAACTTGCTCAAACACGCTGGAGGACAAATTAAGATAAAATAGAGGTCAACAATGCTTCAATATGAAGATAAATTTTTGCAAAAAATAGTATCCAACGGGCATGCATTCGATTAATCATTTTCTAGCTATTTTTAAATTGAAGTGATTTGCGATCACTACACAGTACGAAATCTTGAAAATTATAAAAAATGCTTTTTTCCTTGGCCTTATCAATGCTTATTTCCTTTTCAACAATAATTTAAAAAAAAAAAAGTTAACCTTTTTTTTCATTTGTTTTCTTACTACTTTCTAAATTTATTTTCTATTACAAAATTTTCTTGAAACTTATGAAAAAAAATAATGGTCAAAGCTGACCCAAATGAAGCTAGCCCACCTATTGCAGCTATCATCGTTGATTAATCCGCACATACATATATCATCCTCAATGTCTGCATCAATATATTTGCCTCTCTTAAAATTCTTGTAAAAATTTAGATTTATAATTTAATTCTCACAATATATTATTATTAGCAAAAATTGCAATAAAAATAGTAGAAAGATGAAAATTTTAGCAACACATGCTATTTAGTTTAACCAGATTGAAAAACCATTAGACAACATGGTTAGAGAGAATAAAAATTATAAGAATAATATCTTAAGTATTGTATAATTTATCTAGCTATAAGAAAAAGCGATGGCCGGCAACAAGGCAATGAAGCAATGGTGCCGATGATAACGGTGGAGGAGGTTGACGGTTGTGATAATTGTTTTTAAGATCACTTCAAACCTCACAAAGGTATTTTGAGTATTTTTAATTAATTTAATGTTTTTAATAAAAAATAAATAGAATTAAAAATCAATATAATGAATATGTTTTTTAAAAACAAAAACAAAAGCAAATGTCACATAGTAATAAACTAAGTCTTAGTAAACATGTATGAATATTTTCACGCACATCTTTAACAGGACCTGCATTTGAGGGCTTGTTAATCTCACAAAGGAAAAAATCCTCCATTTTTCTCTTTTTGCCAAATTTAGGAGTTCAACAGATTTATGGGATTCAGCCAAAGAAATGCACGAAAGGGGAGAAAGATGATTACCTTTCCAGCAACAAGCACCAATCATTACTTCTGATCCGACATCGTCGAAGGAGGAGAAGAAGCCTCTTTAGCTACTCTTTCAGGACGCCATTTCATGTGAAGTTAAAGCAACAACGAATAAATGGCTATGAGGAAAGCCAACAAGACAAAACCAAAGAGAAGAGATTAAGAGAAATTATAGAAATAGGCGGGCAATAGCAGAGAAGAATATCATATACTAATTCACTCCTATATGCTTTTCTTAATTTTGCGTCCTGAATCTAACATGTTATGTTCATAATTAATCACAATAGCAGAGAAAATACTTAGTTTCATTGGATGACAATAATATCATAAAATTAAACATTTGTTCAACATACTTTACATTAAACTAAGGCTTCGTTTGATTATTTGATACTCTAGTAAAAGACAATTTTAAGAAACATTGATTTAGAAAATAAAGTTTTCTAACGGAGAAGCATATATAAAAAGCTTTCTCAAAACAGCAGATAAATGAAATAAAAGGAGTTATTGGGAACGTAATTTGACGAACCAAACAGTAAATAAGAAATAAATCTATCATTTTAAAACGGAATAATCACAAAAAATTTCCAATCAAACGAATCCTAAGGAAATTGGCGTCTTTTGCTTCCTCTTGCCTTTGGGAAAGAAATTGTCGTCTTCCGCAACCATAAATATTTGCAAAATCCACTGAACAAACAACTGTCACTACAACCGTTGGATGATAACAATCCCCTCTCATCTCAGCCGCTGGTCATTCTTGTATTTGCTCTATTTGTATATATATAGATATTATGGCTCCTAGTGAAGATCATATGTAACTTCATTTACCTTAGTAAATCATTTTCCAGTCTTTTCTCTGCCTGTGGCTTTCTTCTCTTCTTGTCTTTAAGATATCACAGCCACGTTGGCTCTTCTTCTTCTTCTTTCGCCCTCCCTTTGTTCGCCGAAGTTTTCCTCTTACCCAAATCAAACAACCGACCCTCATTTCCTTCCGGTGAAGATGACGACATCTTCTATCTCTCAAACTAGCGAGACATCTGTTGTACGCACAAACAATCTGACCATCCCTTCCTCCGTCAAGTTCTTGATCTCCAACATAAATATGCCCTTTTCTACTCAGTTGTCGAATGATAACTACCCCATTTGGAGGTCTCAGATGCTCAAGCTTTTCTGCACCAACAATTATGCCGACTTTCTTGAGCGCACGTCACCACCTCCATCTCTTTGTCTACACTTGCCTGACGAAACTTCCGCCATCAATAACGACTACGCTAGCTGCAATTCTTCCATGTCTTAAATCTTGAAACTTCTTCATACATCTAGCTCACCTTAGAGAAAAGACTGCAAGCCATCAACTTTATCGGGTAATTCAACTTAATATAACGAGTTGCATCACATTTTTATAGGTCAACTTACAATGCTACAATACCTTACTGTTGACCTCATTATTCGATGTCAGTTTCCTAGAAATTCATAAATAGTTTCTAGGTACGTTGACGTAGCATTGACTCAGCCTTATAATTCAACATAAATCCAACCTAGTTTGACCTGTCTATATTTGATCAAAATCAAATCAACTCAATATTTAGTCAAACCCACTCAATTCGAATTCAATGTCAAGTTTTAAGATGAAATATTTTATGCAAGTGTCAAATTATAATTATATATATATAAAAGATGAAAAAAAAATGTAAATGTCAAATAAAAAAAAAAAAACTTATATGCTAACAAACTAACAATTGTAAATTAAAAATTGTATAATCTTTTATGAAATATTTTATAACTTTTAAATATCATAATATAATTTTTTTTGTGATGTACTATCATATTTTTAAAAAATCCGAAAAAAAAAAATATTTGCTATTACTTCATACTAAATAAACTTTTTTTTTTAATAATAATATAACTGATATATTTTTAAAATTTAATTATAACTTTTAATAAATGTAATTACATATCATGACTAAACTATAATATTTCTCTAAATTATAATTAAACTCATAAACTGAAAGCATCTCGTCTCCAAATATAATTCTATAAGTATTTCCAACAACAATCTTTATAAAATCATTTTAGTCGGGATAAACAAACTAATTTGAATCAATAAAAAGCAATAGAGCCATTGATCGAGCGGAAGAGCTCGAGGCTGGGAATCAGCATATTGATAGAACTTATGAGTTGGGTCGGAAGACTTGGAGAAGGTTGGAGGCGTAGACGTTGCAACTGACGTCAAACTTGCAAAAGTCGAACTTCCAAACACAGAGGATGTTCAGAGAGCCAAAGGTCGGGAGATCGTCATAAGCATCATAGAATGTGAGTCCGAGATGGATGAGCTTGAGGTGGATGACGTTGGCCTTTAGGGTTTGGTAATTCTAGTCGGAAGCCATGCAGATGGCGTCGATGAACAAAGATTGAGAATATTTGCAAGTGGGGATTTAAATCATTTTTTACATTCGAAACTGCGGAAAGCAGCGGACCGCCGGACATGGTGAATGGTAGTGGGAAGCAGGTATGTGCCGCAATTTTTTTCTAACCCAATTTTGCCGCAATGCCCCAAATGATGATTTAATAACTTTTTATAAAGTAAAGCACAATTTACTTCCTTTTGCTAAAAAAAGCTACTTCCTTTAGTACCATAGAGAACATTGCAAAAGTGTCCTGAAGGAATCGTAGGAATTATGCAGCAAACAATTTCATGTGTACTGCTCACCAATAATACGGATTTTCATTATTTCACTTCACTATAATAATTGATTTCTCCCCATAGGATGCTAATTTGCCATTTAGCCATTTTATCAAATTGCAATTTTATTAAATTTCAACAATCAGCAATGTAGAAGAATACGTCGGCGCAGATAATGTCGCTATTGGAGATGGTCGCACGCTTCTGATTTCTCACTCAGGACGTGGTATCTTTCCTGTTGATCTCATTATTTGAGGTCGATATTTATTAGAACAGCAGCTTAGTTGTTAATCACCTTATTAGGACTGTAATTCGTATTCATTTACTTAGTTTATTCTTTCCCCTATCAGCTCATTACACGTGTACCTACCACTTACTTTATCAGGCTATATAGGCTCACCCTGTACGTAGGAGATAGATTGAATAATACAAATATTATTTCCATCAAGATCATCTTCTTCTTCACCTCCGTCCTCTGTTCTTGCACGGCCGTTCTTGGCCTAGTGCTTCTACATGGTATCAGACCTTTCTTTCCTCACCTTTTCTTTCAATGGCGACATCGCTCTCAGCCTCCTCCTCTACAGCTGAACGACCCTCCAGCACTCTGGCAGAAATCTCTCCGATCTCCCCTTCCCTCAAGTTTGTAGTCTCCAATCTCAAGACTCTTGTTCTTAATCAACTCTCATCGGATAATTATCCGATTTGGCGCCATCAGATCATTAAGCTCCTTAGAGCCAATGACTTCGATCAATTTTTGGCCCCGCCGACTCATTCTGCCGACTCTTCCGAACCTTCTACCGCCTTGATCCATAAGAACCGGCGTATCACAGATCAGAACCTTCAGGCGGCCCTTTGCTCGACGATATCTCCAACGGTGCTTCCCTATATTCTACATCTTGACACCACCTACGAGATCTGGCAGGTTCTTGAAAGTCAGTTTCAGGCTACTAGTCGCTCAAAGGTGATTCAGCTAAAAAATGAGCTTCACCATGTTTCCATGAAGAACCTCTCCATGATTCAATACCTGAATGAGATTAAGAAGCTCGTGGATCAAATCGCATCGGCTGTTTCCACCATTGACTCCGAAGATATAATTCTTTATATCTTGAACGGACTGTCGCCGGCGTACCAGTCATTCAAAACGTATGTCCGTAACTCACCCACTCAGATTCGACTGGAGAATTTGTATGCAATGCTCGTCAGTGAAGAAATCCACATCACCACCAACGCCGTCCGCAGCTCCGCAGATATTGTGCAACAGGCAGCCCTGTACGCAAACCGGGGACGCGGTCGACGCAACAGGGGACGTGCTCCACAGTCTCAACATTAGAATGGACGATCTGGTAACCAACTACAACATGTGCACACTTGCCAGATCTGTGCCAAGAAAGGACACACGGCCGACGTCTGCTGGCACCGCATGAATGCGAATTACACGCCTCAACCACCCACAACCAAGCAACCAAACGCTCTTGTGGCCACCTCGGATATGCAATCCTATGACTGGTACCTCGACTCCGGGGCTTCTTCCCACATGACCAACGCAGCGGATAATCTGAATCAAGCAACTCCCTATCCTGGATCCAATGGTGTCTTCATCGGGGATGGAAGGAATATCCCCATTGCTCACTCGGGCACGGGCATTCTTCCTACCCCGGCTCGTAAGCTTCAACTATCCAATTTACTTCATGTTCCCGCTCTCTCGCACAACCTTATTTCTATCTCACATCTTGTTAAAGACATAATATTTCTGTCACATTTGATCCCATGGGTTTTAAGGATCTGACGACAAATCAGCCGCTTCTTCGCGGTCCTTGTAGCGCCGGTCTCTATCGTATCTCGCAGACGGACAAAGCACAGGTCTCGTCATCCGCGTTTCAGGTGTCCAAGAACCAGCATTCTCCCTGGCACGATCGACTCGGACATCCAAACCTACGGATTTTGCAACAAATTGCACAGAACAATCCAACTTTAAACATTACGCATTCTGTTACTCCATGTACTACGTGTATTCAATGCAAATGCCACAAATTACCTTTCGAATTGTCTAAATCTAGAACGAAATTTCCTCTTGCTCTTTTGCACTCTTATGTTTGGGGACCGGCTCCGGTCACCTCCCCTCAGGGGCTTCGCTATTTTCTTATTTTTGTAGATGACTACTCACGTTATACATGGATTTTTATGCTTTCAAATAAATCTGTTGTACCTACTGTTTTTATTCAATTTACTACGTTTATAGAAAATCAAACAAATAGACGGATCAAAGCTCTCAGGACAGACGGGGGCACTGAGTTCGTCAATCAACAGATGCAAGATTTCATTCGTTCCAAAGGGATTCACCATCAAGTTCCTGTCCTTATACCTCCGAGCAGAATGGTGTGGCTGAACGTAAGAATCGCCACATCACTGAGACAACCCGCTCACTGCTTCACAAAGCTTCCATTCCCCATTCATTCTGGTCGGAAGCAAGCACTACAACGGTTTACCTGATCAATAGGATGCCTTCTCCCATCACTCAGCACAAGTCACCCCTGCAGCTCATGTTTAACATCAAACCTGAATACAAACATCTAGGAACCTTTGGCTGTGAATGCTTCCCTTTACTTCCCAAGCATGCGCAGACGAAACTCCAACCCAACTCATGATCCTTTGTCTTCATGGGCTACTCGGACATCCATAAAGGCTACAAATGCCTCGACAAGGATTCAAACTATATTTTTATTTCCTGCAATGTTACTTTTATAGAACACTCATTCCCATTTAATACCAGTCAAAATTTTCCACATGACAGGACAGAAGACATCCCCTCCTCCATGCTGTTACCCGCCTCCAAAGCTTCAGAGGTTCGACCATCAAACATCCAGCCACACAAACCAATTCATGTACCGGTCAGAATCCCGTCTCCGCCGCCTACTTCTCTCAACAATTCTGAAGTTCCTCCTGTCCCTGCTCAACATCAGCCACATCTTCAACCAACTCACAAACATCCTATGATTACAAGGATGTAAACGAGGTCGTTAAAACCATCTCGATGCTTTAATCTGCTCACCACTACCTCTTCTCCGACTGATCCTGATCCCACAAGCTTCACGGAAGCTAACAAGTGTCACGAATGGCGTCAAGCTATGGCCGAAGAGTTCATCGCTCTCCAACAGTAGGGCACGTGGCAACTCGTACCACCTCCTTCCACGGCACCCATTCTGGGCTGTAAGTGGACGTTTAGGAAGAAATTCAACTCGGACGGCATGATCGCTAGATTTAAAGCTCGTCTTGTTGCTCAGGGAAATCAGCAAGAACACGACATAGATTATGGCTAAACATTCAGCCCGGTGGCCAAGCTACCCACCATCCGCGTACTCTTTACCATCACTCTTTCTCACGGCTGGACAGTGCAGCAGTTGGACGTCACGAATGCATTTCTCCACGGCCAACTCACTGATACTGTCTACATGATACAAGCACGAGGATTTGTTGATGATACACATCAGAACTACGTCTGCCGGTTACAAAAATCAATTTATGGTCTTCGTCAGGCGCCGCGTCAATGGTACACTACCTTCACGCAGTATCTGCTCACGCTAGGCTTCGAGTACAGCAAAGCCGATCCCTCTCTTCTCACGCTTCGTCACAATCAGACACACATTTTTCTTCTAGTATATGTCGATGACATCCTTGTCACCGGCAACAACGACGATGCCATCTCCAAGATACTGACAAAGATACATTCTAAATTCAACATGAAGAATCTAGGAATAGCTCATCACTTCCTCGGCATCAAAATCCAGACTCTATCAGATAAGTATTTCCTATCCCAATCATCCTATGCTCAATCAATCTTAAAATCCGTTCATCTTGACGATTGCAACCCTTTATCTAATCCGTCCTGCACCAAAATTCCAGATCAGGTACCCGAGGACGCTATTCTATCAGCACCAAGCACATACAGACGGATCATAGGATCACTGCAGTACCTAACTTTAACACGTCCCGATATCGCCTACGCCGTCAACGTGCTATCTCAACATATGCACGAACCTTCCCTGCAACATGTCTATCTTCTCAAACGATTGCTGCGCTATCTCAAAGGCACCTTGTCATTCGGTCTACCCATTTTCAAAGCTCCGCTCATTCTGTCTACCTACTCCGACGCCGACTGGGCCGGTGATCCAACAACAAGGAAATCAACCATAGGACACTGCACCTTCCTCGGCGATACACTCATCTCGTGGGTCGTCAAGAAGCAGACTACGGTTGCTCGGTCCTCCACTGAATCCGAATATCGGGCGCTCGCGGCCGCCACGGCGGACACCATCTGGCTGAAGCGATTGCTCAATGATTTTGTAGTTCCACACATCCAATAAATAGATTTGTTCTGCGACAACATGTCCGCCATCGCCCTTTCTCACAACCCCGTTTTCCACGCTCGAACTAAGCGCATCGAGATTGATCACAGGTTCGTCCGTGACCATATTCAAAACAAGGTGATTCGTCTTCTACCCATCAGCACAACATACCAACTCGCATATCTTCTAATTAAGCCACTCTCTACTCCAAGATTCCGGGAACTACGCTCCAAACTGACCGTTCGAGATGAACAATCAGTTTGACAGGGGATATTAGAACAGCAGCTTAGTTGTTAATCACCTTATTAGGACTGTAATTCGTATTCATTTACTTAGTTTATTCTTTCCCCTATCATCTCATTACACGTGTACCTTCCACTTACTTTATCAGGCTATATAGGCTCACCCTGTACCTAGGAGATAGATTGACTAATACAAATATTATTTCCATCAAGATCGTCTTCTTCTTCACCTCCGTTCTCCGTTCTTGGCCTAGTGCTTCTACAATTTTCCCAAATTAATCTTTAGTGCCTATGTCTTTGCAGCCTAGTGTAGACATTGCCTCCAAGATTTTCTTTAGGTGGATACCCATTGATGTAGCACCGACTCAGCTTCCTAATTCGACCCATCTCAGGTTGATCTAAACCAAATTAATTCGACATCGAGCCCAACCCACAAGATTCTAGTTCATTTTAATTTAGATGGCCCTAATTATTCCAATTTGATTCATTGCATGTTAAAGAAAACTAAATCCATATTAATCAAATTAGTCATTTAGTTTATTTACTTATTTCAAACCATCCAAAAAAAAGTTTTAATTAAATTCACCTAGTTTAATATATAAATTTCAATAAAAATCTTTAATTCCCTAAGGCTAGAGGGGGATTATGGCTGATTTGGGCATGCAAATGATGTTGGCTAGACTTGAGCCGGGTTTGACCATCTCCCAACACGATCAAGTAGGGAGTTAGGCCCGGTTTGAACCCCAGCCCGTGGCTCTCGCATGCGCCATCTCTCCCTATTATGAACTTTTATTTGGTCCGGTCACAGGACGTAGCTCTACGTTCGGCCGCCAGTAGAATCGCGCCACGCGTTCTCACTATTTACCGCACGCCCCAACAATCCGATCCGGAACGGACCCAGGATGGCTCATTATTTCTCGATTTTGCTAGGTATTGCTCGGTATTGCTATGTATTGGTCAATTTTGCTCGACAATAACCAATACCTAGCAATACCGAGCAAATACCGTAATACCGAGCAATACCGGGTTGTGCCGAGTTTTTCTAGAAAAACTCGGTACAACTCGTATTGCTCGGTATTACACGGTATTGGTCTTCACAGAGAGGTATTTCTTGTTATTGCCAAGCAATACAGAGCAAATTACGAGTAATACATCGCAATATGCGAACATAGCATTCCCGGGTTCCGGTCCGGGTCAAGTCGTCGGGTCGCGCGGTAAAGAGTAAGAGCACGTGGCGACATGTTATTG